GCCGCTGTTATAAACTTCTCTCCCCCCAAGGATGTGGAACGGTCTGCTGCTGCTGCTGCTGCTGCTGCTGTTGTTGTTGTTGCTGCTGTTGTTGCTGCTGCTGCTACTGGTGCTGTTGCTGCTGCTGCTGCTGCTGTTGTTGTTGTTGCTACTGCTGCTGCTGCTACTGTTGCTGTTGCGGCTGCTGTTGCTGCAGCTGCCTTCTATTTGTCTCCTTTGTTGTTTTTGTCTCCTCCTTAGTATGTGTCTCTGTCTCCGTTTTGTGTTTTCTGTCTCTGTTTGTCTTTGTCTCCTTTTGCCGTTTCTCTTTACTCCTTTCTGCATCTCTCCCCCTGTCTCCTTTTCTGTCTGCTTTTCGTCTGTCTCCTTTTCTGTCTCCTTTTCGTCTGTCTCCTTTTCTGTCTCGTTTCTGTCTCCGTTTTTGTCTCTGTTTCTGTCGCTGTCTCCTCTTTCTTTCTCTGTCTCTGTCTCTATCTTTGTATATGTTTGTGTCTGTGTTCCCGTGTCTCTTTTATTATCCTTCTGTCTCCTTCTGTCTCCTTCTGTCTCCTTCTGTCTTTTCCTTTTTTTTGTCTCCTTTAATATTTGTTTATATCTATCTCCTTTCTTTTATCTCCTTCTTCTGTCTCCTTTCTCCTCCTTTCTCCTCCTGTCTCCTCCTGTCTCCTTTTTCTTGTCTCCTTCCTTCTGTATCCTTTCTGCTGTCTCCTTTCTGGTGTCTCCTTTCTGCTGTCTCCTTTTCACTTTATCATTTTTGCTGTCTCCTTTCTTCTGTCTCCTTTTGTTTATATCCCTTTTTCTGTCTCCTTTCTGCTGTCTCCTTTCTTTTATACCCTTTCTTTTATATCCTTTCTTTTTCTGTCTCCTTTCTGCTGTCTCTTTTCGTTTGTCTCCTTTCTTTTATATCCTTTTTTCTGTCTCCTTTTTTCTGTCTCCTTTTTTCTGTCTCCTTTTTTCTGTCTCTTTCTGTTTATATCCTTTCTTCTATCTCCTTTCTGCTGTCTCCTTTGTGGTGTCTCCTTTTTATATCCTTTTTGTTTTTATTTCCTTTTTGTGTCTCTTTTCATTTA